CTGGTTAGAAATTTAGGACTTATGAAAATATTTACCACTATTTAACTATTGTAATGAATATTGTCATGATTCTGGAGCCCTGGTGGCTTAGTGGTTCTGCATTGGGCTGTGATTCTCAAGGTCAGCAGTTCAAACCACCAGCTGCTCTGTGGGAGAAAGATAGTCTTTTACATCTGTAACCAGTTACCGTCTCAGAACCTCAAACAGAACAGACACACTCGGTCCTGTAGGGAAGCTGTGAGCCTGTATCGACTCGAGGGCATCCAAACTTGGGTTTGGATGTTTCTCTAAGATCTTTCTGAAAGTCTTTTGTCTACATCTTACCTGTGTGCTTGGGGAAATAGTAGCAGGGCATAGCGTATGTGTTCATCGATGTTTTAAAGTTATCCCCCAAACATACTAATTCATAATATACATAACTAATTCATAAGATACATAAGTTTTGGTCCTGTTCCTTGATCCAGCCCTCCTCAAAACTTACAAATATAAAAACTTTAATATTAGAAGTCATGGTGAATATATAATAGTATCATTACTAGATTAATATAAAATGTCCTTATTCCTATTAGATTGAACACTTAAAATGCACTTAACAAGAGCTTCATAATAACAATAAGGAAGATGTATGTTAAGTATTTCAGTGGGTAATAGCACAGGTCATTTTAGCCCAGGCCACCGTATCATATACACTGATTGTGCTTTCGTGGGAGAACCATTTCTCTGAAAACTGAAAGTCGTGAGAATTTCTGTTATTGTTGCTAGGTGACACTAATTAATGCCAATATTACTTCCTAATTTTAGTCACTAGTTTTTATTTTAAATACATTGGGCTATGTACTATTTATATTTTATATGTTTAATCTACTGGAATTTAATTGTTGAGATGCTGATTAACATACGTGCTTTTAACCTCATCTAACTGGGCATAATTTATATTAGAAGGAAGCTTGGAGTCATAATGGATTAAGTGCTGGGCTTCTAATGTTCAGGTCGATAGCTCCCCATTTCACTCTGTGGCACCTTTGTTATAGCACAAGGATACTGTGTGTCTAGCAGTATGTTTCTGGTTACTATTATATTTCACTTTTTAATTTTTTATTTCTCTAGTCCAAAATTGTTACTTT